TGCTTGCATGGGAGACGGGACCACGTTGCCAGTAATGTGGAAGCCGCACACGCCCGAAAAAGGCGTGAAGCAACGGAAACCCCGCCTCCTGCGCTCGCCAGCTGGGCTCCGCTCTAGGAAGGCGGCAATGGCAAACCATTTCTGAAACACCTTGCCTTGAAAACTGCAGGGACTCGCCTAGGCAGTTGCCATAGAATCAGTCACGATTGAGTGCGGATTAAAAAAAAGAAGAAGAAAACAATGAAAAGAAATTGGAGAGTCACCAAGTTTCCTACTGCGCTTAGATTGCTTGCATGAAAGATAAATACTTGCATTTCTTTTCTTTCCCCTGGACGAAGGGATGCAGTATAACAGTGGTGTTCCTCCAAGACCAGTATAAATGAGTACAGGTTGGGGTGTGCATGGGACAGATGGTGGTCTTCAGATCTGCAAGATAGGGGGCCTGGGGCTTATTTATTATATTATATACATGACTCTGGGAAGCATCCTCACAACTATGGGGTCACAGTCCAAGCCTTGTCCCTTTTAGTATATAGCACCTACAAAAGGGGCAGGGCTTGGATCATGACTTTGCATCCACCATTTTGTGGATTTTGACCCCTCCCCAATTCCTCCTGAATACAGGAGTATTCTCTTCAGCTGCTAGCTCTTCTCATTTTACCTAGAGAATTCAGGTCCTTTCTCCCAACACTGAACCATTCCAGAGCCCTTTTTTCCCCCACTTCAATATGTGCACCGCATCCTCATTTTTTAAAAGAAATTTATTAGGTTATAAAAAGCATAAAGGTAAAAGCAAACAAGAACTAATAATCAGAAAGAATAGTAGAGAACAAAAGAGTTAAAGATAAAGAAGAAATACAGAAGTGATGAAAATTAAAAAGGAACAAAAGAAAAATTTCAAAAAGAATGACTTCTGACTTCTTATACAGCAGATATAAATGAATCATATAGTGACCTGTTACTCTTAACGTACATATTTTGTATAACCTATTATTTAACTAATCATCAAATCCATAAATCATGATTTCATTTTTTTCTGTCTCCTGCAAAAAGTCCAGAAGGAGCTTCCAATTGGCAATAAAATCAGTCAATGTTTTTTCTCTAAGCAAAGCTGTCAATTTTGCTATCTTGGCTAACTCCATCAGCTTCACCATCCATTCTTCCATTGTAGGTAATGTCAAGTCTGTCCACCTTTGAGCATCTCAAAGTCTAGCTGCAGTTATCATATATAGAAACAAAGGTCCATGAGCTTTTTCCAATTGTTTGTCTATCAGTCCCAGAAGGAAAACTTCTGGTTTTAACTGTATATTAACCTTCAAGATCTTCTGAATTAATATATGGATTTGTCCAAAATTTAGCAGCCTTATTACGTGTCCACCAAAGATGATAAAAAGTCCCTTCTTGTTGTTCGCATTTCCAACATATATTTGAAACCCTTTTATACATTTTGGATAATCTTTCTGGTGACAAATACCATCTATACATCATTTTATAAAACTTCTCCTTCAAATTATAACACAATGTAAATTTTAACCCTTTCATCCACATATTTTCCCATTGTTCCATTTGTATATTATGTCCAAAATTTTTTGCCCATTTTATCATAAAATCATAAAGACTTTATCAACCAAATTATAACACAATGTAAATTTTAACCCTTTCATCCACATATTTTCCCATTGTTCCATTTGTATATTATGTCCAAAATTTTTTGCCCATTTTATCATAAAATCATAAAGACTTTATCAACAAGTCTTTAACTTGTTCATCGTCTGTTTCAAATCTCAACAAAAGCTTATGCATTTTAGCAATAAGATGTTCATCATTGGTACACAAATCAATTTCCAAAACAGCTTTGTTTTGTTCAAAACTGTATATCTTTTTATCAGTTTTAAATGTTTCTCCAAGTTGTACATATGTAAATCAGTGGCATGGATATCCTTGAGATATCAAATCCTCTCTTGATTTTATTTTAATTTTTCCTTGGTGAATATCAAGGATATCGACATAAATTAACAATTTCTGCTTAGTTACCATTTCTTTCCTATAAAATGCTTCTTGTGGAGATAACCATAGGGGTATTGTTGGACACAATCTGGGTTTGTATCTATTCCCAATTCTCAAAATGGCATGTCACACATCCTCATTTTTAATAGAAATCTCGTTTATTACAACAACAGTGCAGTGCAGGGGGCTGTATTTTGCTGCTTGACAGTTCCAAAAAGGATAATTTCCTGAGTCTGTCATTCTTCCCGGAAATGTAAACTTGTCCCTTTCATCTTCTGCTGGTAATCTGCATCAAATGCTTCCCTTTGAGCCACTGTAAAATAGTTCTTCCAATCACCAACTTTACCTGAGGAAATGCCAATGAATGAATGAATGAATGAATGAATGAATGAATGAATGAATGAGTTATGGGGAATTTCAGAATCAAGAAAAGCCTTGCATTACATTTGCAAATTCCATTCCACCACACTGTCTCCTAATTTTGGAAAGATGTGAGATCACCATCCATTTTTTTAAAAAAGTAAAAGGCAGCTCTCCTTTCTCTCCAGCTTTCTCTAAAGAAGGCAGAAGAAAGATCAGGATAGAGCTACTGGAAGACCTCTAGAAGATTTGTAGTAGGACCCCAGTGATGAAGTTACCCTGCTTCTGCTTCTTCACAAAATTAAAAAATAAATCCTGGAATGGCGCCCCTATACATCATATGATTTCTGAATGGTTCTTCCATACATGCTTTGGTTTTGTATGTAACATTTGTGTCATAGCTGATTTCATGTGTTCTTCTGCTGGGCTCTGATGTCCTGTGCATATTCATTCACAAGTGTGACCTACTCCCAGGAAAGGTTTTACAAGATGGCAGCCCAAAGCTGCTACTCTGAAGAGCTTGATATCCCTCCACACCCCTCCCCCAGACACAAAAGGGCTAGTGCTTTAAGGTCTGGACCAGGGACTGAGTAACTCTGTGGGCCTTGACTGTAAAATTAGATGGATAATCTGCTACCCCAAACCTGTTTTCTGAAGCCCCCAGCACCCACTTGAACCATGATTCCTGAAATCATTGACACTGTTTCCTGTTATTTTGAGGCAGAAAACACAGAAGAATTATAATGTAATACTAAATGAATGTAGCCCTAAAATGGACTAAATCATTTAAAATTTAAAAAGACCTTTCCACTCCACTTCTTTCCCTCAAATTCAGGGAAAAACAAGAAATCCCAATCTCATCTCTATACTTGTCTTGGCTTTCATCCATTCTACAGCCCTTAACCTTCACAAAAATCTTAAGTGTCAAACCATGGCCATCAAAACATTGCTTATCCCAGATATAAAGGCTCCTGATCCAGAACTAGCTTAAATTGTCTACCCTTCTTCCCATTTTAAGGAAAGTTACTGTACGAATGGAAACCACCACCTTGGAGTTCTTCATCTTACCTTTTCTCATGAAGATGCTTTTTGACTTGTCAAAGATGACAGAGGGTACAGTTTCATAATTTGCCATGGGATTGTCCTTCATGATCTCAAATGATGCCTCATGCACTATCTTCTGCACAATGTCTTCAGGCAAGTCAACCTCTAGGAAATCTTTTACACGGTGGACTTCACGGGCTAAATCCTGGCAGAAGATGGATGGCATGGATGGGGGAAAGGGCAGAATGTGAACAGTATAAAATTAATCCACTGTAAGTTCTTAGGTGCTGAACAGATTGGTGAGAGGATGCAGGAAACTATGGTGGATAGCTTCACCTCCAGAAGTCAAATTAGATGACCTTTGGATCTATTTTACCTACAGTATATCTATTAAATCTCTGAGCATATCACGATTGTCCTGGACCCTAGCTTGAAGGAAGCAACATTTGATTTCAAATGTGTGAGAACAACCTCAATGAGAAACAGGCATTTCTTTATGATGAACGTGCACTTTGCAGAGATGTGAAGGCTGGGGAAGAGGGGAAATGGACCAATAAAAAGATAAGGGGGGAAAAAAGGGAAAAATTGAGAGGAGGGAGCCCTGAGGGTATTTTTATTCCTTGCTTTTACATCTTTCTTCATAATTTTTACTTCTCAAGTCCCTGTATCTTAAACTGCCTCTGGGACAGTTGACAAACTGGGTTAGCTTCCAGAATATGGTTTCCTTGATTCTGGTTAAGTGTGTTGTGTGAATCCACCTAACTGTGGTTTATTCAATAAATCATGGTTTTAAAAACCACAGCTTTATGTAGTGTGTGAACCAAGCAATATAATGTTTATTAGTTGTACCTATGATTATTCTCCTTTAAAGCAGACAGATTCTTGTGTTCCTCCCACCCCTTTTGAGAATACTTTTCCTCTATTCCTGTTACTATAGTATTTTAAAATCAGTTATACCAAGCCATTCAGTGTATGTTTTTTCAATCAGAAAAAGAGCCTTTCAAAAACATTTCCAGTAACTTTACAATGAGTCACCCCAAAATATTACAACATATCAATAACAAGATTACAAAATGATGGTAACCTGATCATTTTAGTCATTCTTTGTCTCTCAGTGATGTATGTATGTATGTATGTATGTATGTATGTATGTATGTATGTATCAAATTTTTCACTGCCTATCTCGTTAAAATACAATTCTGGAAGGTTTATAAGGTAGTTAAAATCAATTAAAATTACATTATAACTTAATCCTAAATAAATAGAAAATAAATATAATCCAAGGATAGATGTTAAAATTGGCAATAACTCGGGGAGCGTCATCAAGGCACCAGCCAGCCCCAGGATTGGGTAAGATTCTTATTGCCCCATGCAATACTTCCCTATTTATACATTATTTCAGCTACAACTACTGTGAAATTTGCAGGTTTTCTGGAACTATTCTATCTACAAGCGACTTGGGAGGGAAATGAATAACCCAATGCCATGGAGTAAGGTTACAGCCTCCAGACAGGCTGCAATCCACTAGTCCTTGAATCAACTACAGAAAAGTCTGCAAGTATAATATTTGCTGTTGAATTGCTGCAGTAACAAGGCTAGAATTGGTGCTATCCTTACGGTTTTAATGTGGGACAAACTGAGGACAGTGATTGGTGGATTCCTCTGGCTTCAATTCTCTCCCACCAAGTGTCACCTGCCAGCAGAAAAGTGGCCACCAATCACTCACCTTAATTTGGGGGCAGGGAGGTTGAGGGGGAGGCAGAGGGCACAGGGTTGGATGGTTGTAGGGTTGGTGGGTGCTTGGAATGGCGTGTTTAGCCTTCTGAAGTTGCCTAACAGTTCACAAATGAAGGCTATTTCTGAACATAGATCTACCTTAAGAACATTAAAACCATGTCCAAAATTAGCCTGGCTGACAAATCACAGATGTGGAAAGGGGCATGGGTTGAAGTGGTAAAGAGTGATCAATAATGAGCAAACTCCATCTTAACTAGTACTGCAAAGGAATCACAGTGTTGGAACTGACTCTTATTCTCATGGCTGGTAGCACCCAAAAGTAGCCCACAGAGACCATGGAGCTGGAATTCCGTAGACTTCCCTTAAAAAGTTCTGTGAAATATGCTTTAATGAAATTTTCTGCTGGAGAGGAAAGCTATAGTTCTTAGATTTCCTTCTAGTGAAGGAATGGTTATATGAGTGGATGTACCTGATAGACTGCATAAAGGAAAATTTTCCAAAATGCAGTCAGTGAGGAGCCAGACCCTATTAAGCCCCATCAAAGATAGGTTTGAGGTGTTTTGGGGTGGGGGGCTTGCTTTGTGTTTGGTCTCAGGATAGCTATGTGTGTTATTCATACATCTGAATATCACCCTGGAACCTACTGGTTAAAGGTAGCTAAGAAATGTTTGAAAGAAATAAAATACTGAAGTTAGACATGGCCTTCTGATCTTCTAGCACCTCCCCATCACAGGTCACAATGACAAAACTTTATCACAGATGATAACTAATAGGGAAGTTCTCAATAATGAAACAGATTTGCCAGTAAGATATGGGACAAGACAGAATGATGATGTGTAGATAAACAATCTAACTGGCATGCTGGTTTGCAAGAGAAAAAGTTGAAGTCAAATAGATTTGGAGGGTACCGAGTGGAAGAAAGATTCAATAAGCCTATATGACAACATCTCTTAAAGGCCTGTCTCAGAGGTCATGGCCTTTTCTGGCCATAGGCCCTATTCTGCAGTGTTGTGTAATAACCTGGGCTGCTCTTCCATACGCCTGAAATCTCATAAAAATAACTCATAAAAATCAGAATTTGGTGATCTCATCCTGACATCTTTTAAGATCTAACATATGAAAGTGAAATCTCATTTGGGACTTCTGGAAGAAGAAATGGTGGACTGAACATGGCTCGGAAAAGCAGAGCCAACAACTACTGCACAGTGGAATGAAGAGCCAGCGAGTAGACCATCTCTTCAATAATTCATCTACATACAAGGAGAGGACCCACAAGTGCTCCAGACAGCTGCTTTCATGAAGAAACTGCAAGATAGTGGTTTCCAGCAGGTTTAGAGCTCTGGGAGATAAGGGAATAGCCATCTTGCTCAAACCACAGTCACCACCTTTGAAAGGACACTATGTTTGCACACTTTCTTTCCTAATCACTTTTGAAAATTGTTTAAGTTATTAGGAACTTAATAACTCAGTTATTAGGAACCTTTAGATCAACAACTTTGACAGCACTGGGTGAATTTCCAATCCTTAGTGAAAAAAGTTTTAACTACAAGTTTAAAAACTTTAAAAACTTTTTTTTTGGAATAAACAGCAAAAGGGTGATTAAAACTTTGATTTTAGAAAGTTACAAATGGACTAAGAGTCCAGATAAATTTGAAGTAATATTTTGGAATTAATGATAAAGAATCCTTCCTGTGGGAAAATGCTTTTTAAATTTTTTTTTAAAAAAACCTAATAAGAATTTAAAAGTTGGACACTAAAGGAAACTAAAGATTAAAATTAAAAGAGAAGAACACTTAAACTTGACTTACAATTACAGAATGAAGCAAAATATTCTAACATTGGACATATTGAAGGATATTTTTGTTAAGGTATTCACCATAAGTGTTTCCTTTAAGGAGTGCAGTATCACAGTAAAACACATCTCAGG